GTATCCTCTGGTAGCCACACCGAAACCGATGTCATCTCTTTCTACACCACTACCGACTCTGAAGGTGAAGTCGTTACCACTTCTACCACCTACCCAGTCACCTCTTCTGGTGTTCCAGCTCCAGTCACTACAGTTGTATCCTCTGGTAGCCACACCGAAACCGATGTCATCTCTTTCTACACCACTACCGACTCTGAAGGTGAAGTCGTTACCACTTCTACCACCTACCCAGTCACCTCTTCTGGTGTTCCAGCTCCAGTCACTACAGTTGTATCCTCTGGTAGCCACACCGAAACCGATGTCATCTCTTTCTACACCACTACCGACTCTGAAGGTGAAGTCGTTACCACTTCTACCACCTACCCAGTCACCTCATCAGGTGTTCCAGCTCCAGTCACTACTGTTGTATCCTCTGGTAGCCACACCGAAACTGATGTCATCTCTTTCTACACCACTACCGACTCTGAAGGTGAAGTCGTTACCACTTCTACCACCTACCCAGTCACCTCTTCTGGTGTTCCAGCTCCAGTCACTACTGTTGTATCCTCTGGTAGCCACACCGAAACCGATGTCATCTCTTTCTACACCACTACCGACTCTGAAGGTGAAGTCGTTACCACTTCTACCACCTACCCAGTCACCTCTTCTGGTGTTCCAGCTCCAGTCACTACTGTTGTATCCTCTGGTAGCCACACCGAAACCGACGTCATCTCTTTCTACACCACTACCGACTCTGAAGGTGAAGTCGTTACCACTTCTACCACCTACCCAGTCACCTCATCAGGTGTTCCAGCTCCAGTCACTACTGTTGTATCCTCTGGTAGCCACACCGAAACCGACGTCATCTCTTTCTACACCACTACCGACTCTGAAGGTGAAGTCGTTACCACTTCTACCACCTACCCAGTCACCTCATCAGGTGTTCCAGCTCCAGTCACTACTGTTGTATCCTCTGGTAGCCACACCGAAACCGATGTCATCTCTTTCTACACCACTACCGACTCTGAAGGTGAAGTCGTTACCACTTCTACCACCTACCCAGTCACCTCTTCTGGTGTTCCAGCTCCAGTCACTACTGTTGTATCCTCTGGTAGCCACACCGAAACCGATGTCATCTCTTTCTACACCACTACCGACTCTGAAGGTGAAGTCGTTACCACTTCTACCACCTACCCAGTCACCTCTTCTGGTGTTCCAGCTCCAGTCACTACTGTTGTATCCTCTGGTAGCCACACCGAAACCGATGTCATCTCTTTCTACACCACTACCGACTCTGAAGGTGAAGTCGTTACCACTTCTACCACCTACCCAGTCACCTCTTCTGGTGTTCCAGCTCCAGTCACTACTGTTGTATCCTCTGGTAGCCACACCGAAACCGATGTCATCTCTTTCTACACCACTACCGACTCTGAAGGTGAAGTCGTTACCACTTCTACCACCTACCCAGTCACCTCTTCTGGTGTTCCAGCTCCAGTCACTACTGTTGTATCCTCTGGTAGCCACACCGAAACCGACGTCATCTCTTTCTACACCACTACCGACTCTGAAGGTGAAGTCGTTACCACTTCTACCACCTACCCAGTCACCTCATCAGGTGTTCCAGCTCCAGTCACTACTGTTGTATCCTCTGGTAGCCACACCGAAACCGATGTCATCTCTTTCTACACCACTACCGACTCTGAAGGTGAAGTCGTTACCACTTCTACCACCTACCCAGTCACCTCTTCTGGTGTTCCAGCTCCAGTCACTACTGTTGTATCCTCTGGTAGCCACACCGAAACCGATGTCATCTCTTTCTACACCACTACCGACTCTGAAGGTGAAGTCGTTACCACTTCTACCACCTACCCAGTCACCTCTTCTGGTGTTCCAGCTCCAGTCACTACTGTTGTATCCTCTGGTAGCCACACCGAAACCGACGTCATCTCTTTCTACACCACTACCGACTCTGAAGGTGAAGTCGTTACCACTTCTACCACCTACCCAGTCACCTCATCAGGTGTTCCATCTCCAGTCACTACTGTTGTATCCTCTGGTAGCCACACCGAAACCGATGTCATCTCTTTCTACACCACTACCGACTCTGAAGGTGAAGTCGTTACCACTTCTACCACCTACCCAGTCACCTCATCAGGTGTTCCAGCTCCAGTCACTACTGTTGTATCCTCTGGTAGCCACACCGAAACCGATGTCATCTCTTTCTACACCACTACCGACTCTGAAGGTGAAGTCGTTACCACTTCTACCACCTACCCAGTCACCTCTTCTGGTGTTCCAGCTCCAGTCACTACTGTTGTATCCTCTGGTAGCCACACCGAAACTGATGTCATCTCTTTCTACACCACTACCGACTCTGAAGGTGAAGTCGTTACCACTTCTACCACCTACCCAGTCACCTCTTCTGGTGTTCCAGCTCCAGTCACTACAGTTGTATCCTCTGGTAGCCACACCGAAACCGATGTCATCTCTTTCTACACCACTACCGACTCTGAAGGTGAAGTCGTTACCACTTCTACCACCTACCCAGTCACCTCTTCTGGTGTTCCAGCTCCAGTCACTACTGTTGTATCCTCTGGTAGCCACACCGAAACCGATGTCATCTCTTTCTACACCACTACCGACTCTGAAGGTGAAGTAGTTACCATTTCGACAACATATTTAATTTCTGATGTATGTACTGATGTTAGGATTACTTCGAGTATTAATGCTTCCATTAGTTGTACGTCATTCATTTCGAGCATTTCAAAAATTGCTTCTATTAATGCAGATAAATCTGTTACTATAAGAACTTCCCTATCTTTAGAATCTCTAAGTTTAACTCAAAATACTATTGCCGCTTCTACCACCTACCCAGTCACCTCTTCTGGTGTTCCAGCTCCAGTCACTACAGTTGTATCCTCTGGTAGCCACACCGAAACCGATGTCATCTCTTTCTACACCACTACCGACTCTGAAGGTGAAGTCGTTACCACTTCTACCACCTACCCAGTCACCTCATCAGGTGTTCCAGCTCCAGTCACTACAGTTGTATCCTCTGGTAGCCACACCGAAACCGATGTCGTCTCTTTCTACACCACTACCGACTCTGAAGGTGAAGTCGTTACCACTTCTACCACCTACCCAGTCACCTCATCAGGTGTTCCAGCTCCAGTCACTACTGTTGTATCCTCTGGTAGCCACACCGAAACCGACGTCATCTCTTTCTACACCACTACCGACTCTGAAGGTGAAGTCGTTACCACTTCTACCACCTACCCAGTCACCTCTTCTGGTGTTCCAGCTCCAGTCACTACTGTTGTATCCTCTGGTAGCCACACCGAAACTGATGTAATCTCTTTCTACACCACTACCGACTCTGAAGGTGAAGTCGTTACCACTTCTACCACCTACCCAGTCACCTCTTCTGGTGTTCCAGCTCCAGTCACTACTGTTGTATCCTCTGGTAGCCACACCGAAACCGATGTCATCTCTTTCTACACCACTACCGACTCTGAAGGTGAAGTCGTTACCACTTCTACCACCTACCCAGTCACCTCATCAGGTGTTCCAGCTCCAGTCACTACTGTTGTATCCTCTGGTAGCCACACCGAAACCGATGTCATCTCTTTCTACACCACTACCGACTCTGAAGGTGAAGTCGTTACCACTTCTACCACCTACCCAGTCACCTCTTCTGGTGTTCCAGCTCCAGTCACTACTGTTGTATCCTCTGGTAGCCACACCGAAACCGACGTCATCTCTTTCTACACCACTACCGACTCTGAAGGTGAAGTCGTTACCACTTCTACCACCTACCCAGTCACCTCATCAGGTGTTCCAGCTCCAGTCACTACTGTTGTATCCTCTGGTAGCCACACCGAAACTGATGTCATCTCTTTCTACACCACTACCGACTCTGAAGGTGAAGTCGTTACCACTTCTACCACCTACCCAGTCACCTCTTCTGGTGTTCCAGCTCCAGTCACTACTGTCGTATCCTCTGGTAGCCACACCGAAACCGACGTCATCTCTTTCTACACCACTACCGACTCTGAAGGTGAAGTCGTTACCACTTCTACCACCTACCCAGTCACCTCATCAGGTGTTCCAGCTCCAGTCACTACTGTTGTATCCTCTGGTAGCCACACCGAAACCGATGTCATCTCTTTCTACACCACTACCGACTCTGAAGGTGAAGTCGTTACCACTTCTACCACCTACCCAGTCACCTCTTCTGGTGTTCCAGCTCCAGTCACTACTGTTGTATCCTCTGGTAGCCACACCGAAACCGACGTCATCTCTTTCTACACCACTACCGACTCTGAAGGTGAAGTCGTTACCACTTCTACCACCTACCCAGTCACCTCTTCTGGTGTTCCAGCTCCAGTCACTACTGTTGTATCCTCTGGTAGCCACACCGAAACCGATGTCATCTCTTTCTACACCACTACCGACTCTGAAGGTGAAGTCGTTACCACTTCTACCACCTACCCAGTCACCTCTTCTGGTGTTCCAGCTCCAGTCACTACTGTTGTATCCTCTGGTAGCCACACCGAAACCGATGTCATCTCTTTCTACACCACTACCGACTCTGAAGGTGAAGTCGTTACCACTTCTACCACCTACCCAGTCACCTCTTCTGGTGTTCCAGCTCCAGTCACTACTGTTGTATCCTCTGGTAGCCACACCGAAACTGATGTCATCTCTTTCTACACCACTACCGACTCTGAAGGTGAAGTCGTTACCACTTCTACCACCTACCCAGTCACCTCTTCTGGTGTTCCAGCTCCAGTCACTACTGTCGTATCCTCTGGTAGCCACACCGAAACCGATGTCATCTCTTTCTACACCACTACCGACTCTGAAGGTGAAGTCGTTACCACTTCTACCACCTACCCAGTCACCTCTTCTGGTGTTCCAGCTCCAGTCACTACTGTTGTATCCTCTGGTAGCCACACCGAAACCGATGTCATCTCTTTCTACACCACTACCGACTCTGAAGGTGAAGTCGTTACCACTTCTACCACCTACCCAGTCACCTCATCAGGTGTTCCAGCTCCAGTCACTACTGTTGTATCCTCTGGTAGCCACACCGAAACCGATGTCATCTCTTTCTACACCACTACCGACTCTGAAGGTGAAGTCGTTACCACTTCTACCACCTACCCAGTCACCTCTTCTGGTGTTCCAGCTCCAGTCACTACTGTTGTATCCTCTGGTAGCCACACCGAAACCGATGTCATCTCTTTCTACACCACTACCGACTCTGAAGGTGAAGTCGTTACCACTTCTACCACCTACCCAGTCACCTCTTCTGGTGTTCCAGCTCCAGTCACTACTGTTGTATCCTCTGGTAGCCACACCGAAACCGACGTCATCTCTTTCTACACCACTACCGACTCTGAAGGTGAAGTCGTTACCACTTCTACCACCTACCCAGTCACCTCATCAGGTGTTCCAGCTCCAGTCACTACTGTTGTATCCTCTGGTAGCCACACCGAAACCGATGTCATCTCTTTCTACACCACTACCGACTCTGAAGGTGAAGTCGTTACCACTTCTACCACCTACCCAGTCACCTCTTCTGGTGTTCCAGCTCCAGTCACTACTGTTGTATCCTCTGGTAGCCACACCGAAACTGATGTCATCTCTTTCTACACCACTACCGACTCTGAAGGTGAAGTCGTTACCACTTCTACCACCTACCCAGTCACCTCTTCTGGTGTTCCAGCTCCAGTCACTACTGTCGTATCCTCTGGTAGCCACACCGAAACCGATGTCATCTCTTTCTACACCACTACCGACTCTGAAGGTGAAGTCGTTACCACTTCTACCACCTACCCAGTCACCTCTTCTGGTGTTCCAGCTCCAGTCACTACAGTTGTATCCTCTGGTAGCCACACCGAAACCGATGTCATCTCTTTCTACACCACTACCGACTCTGAAGGTGAAGTCGTTACCACTTCTACCACCTACCCAGTCACCTCTTCTGGTGTTCCAGCTCCAGTCACTACAGTTGTATCCTCTGGTAGCCACACCGAAACCGATGTCATCTCTTTCTACACCACTACCGACTCTGAAGGTGAAGTCGTTACCACTTCTACCACCTACCCAGTCACCTCATCAGGTGTTCCAGCTCCAGTCACTACTGTTGTATCCTCTGGTAGCCACACCGAAACTGATGTCATCTCTTTCTACACCACTACCGACTCTGAAGGTGAAGTCGTTACCACTTCTACCACCTACCCAGTCACCTCTTCTGGTGTTCCAGCTCCAGTCACTACTGTTGTATCCTCTGGTAGCCACACCGAAACCGATGTCATCTCTTTCTACACCACTACCGACTCTGAAGGTGAAGTCGTTACCACTTCTACCACCTACCCAGTCACCTCTTCTGGTGTTCCAGCTCCAGTCACTACTGTTGTATCCTCTGGTAGCCACACCGAAACCGACGTCATCTCTTTCTACACCACTACCGACTCTGAAGGTGAAGTCGTTACCACTTCTACCACCTACCCAGTCACCTCTTCTGGTGTTCCAGCTCCAGTCACTACTGTTGTATCCTCTGGTAGCCACACCGAAACCGATGTCATCTCTTTCTACACCACTACCGACTCTGAAGGTGAAGTCGTTACCACTTCTACCACCTACCCAGTCACCTCTTCTGGTGTTCCAGCTCCAGTCACTACTGTTGTATCCTCTGGTAGCCACACCGAAACCGACGTCATCTCTTTCTACACCACTACCGACTCTGAAGGTGAAGTCGTTACCACTTCTACCACCTACCCAGTCACCTCTTCTGGTGTTCCAGCTCCAGTCACTACTGTTGTATCCTCTGGTAGCCACACCGAAACCGATGTCATCTCTTTCTACACCACTACCGACTCTGAAGGTGAAGTCGTTACCACTTCTACCACCTACCCAGTCACCTCTTCTGGTGTTCCAGCTCCAGTCACTACAGTTGTATCCTCTGGTAGCCACACCGAAACTGATGTAATCTCTTTCTACACCACTACCGACTCTGAAGGTGAAGTCGTTACCACTTCTACCACCTACCCAGTCACCTCTTCTGGTGTTCCAGCTCCAGTCACTACTGTTGTATCCTCTGGTAGCCACACCGAAACCGACGTCATCTCTTTCTACACCACTACCGACTCTGAAGGTGAAGTCGTTACCACTTCTACCACCTACCCAGTCACCTCTTCTGGTGTTCCAGCTCCAGTCACTACTGTTGTATCCTCTGGTAGCCACACCGAAACCGATGTCATCTCTTTCTACACCACTACCGACTCTGAAGGTGAAGTCGTTACCACTTCTACCACCTACCCAGTCACCTCATCAGGTGTTCCAGCTCCAGTCACTACTGTTGTATCCTCTGGTAGCCACACCGAAACCGACGTCATCTCTTTCTACACCACTACCGACTCTGAAGGTGAAGTCGTTACCACTTCTACCACCTACCCAGTCACCTCTTCTGGTGTTCCAGCTCCAGTCACTACTGTTGTATCCTCTGGTAGCCACACCGAAACCGATGTCATCTCTTTCTACACCACTACCGACTCTGAAGGTGAAGTCGTTACCACTTCTACCACCTACCCAGTCACCTCTTCTGGTGTTCCAGCTCCAGTCACTACTGTTGTATCCTCTGGTAGCCACACCGAAACCGATGTCATCTCTTTCTACACCACTACCGACTCTGAAGGTGAAGTCGTTACCACTTCTACCACCTACCCAGTCACCTCATCAGGTGTTCCAGCTCCAGTCACTACTGTTGTATCCTCTGGTAGCCACACCGAAACCGATGTCATCTCTTTCTACACCACTACCGACTCTGAAGGTGAAGTCGTTACCACTTCTACCACCTACCCAGTCACCTCATCAGGTGTTCCAGCTCCAGTCACTACTGTTGTATCCTCTGGTAGCCACACCGAAACCGATGTCATCTCTTTCTACACCACTACCGACTCTGAAGGTGAAGTCGTTACCACTTCTACCACCTACCCAGTCACCTCTTCTGGTGTTCCAGCTCCAGTCACTACAGTTGTATCCTCTGGTAGCCACACCGAAACCGATGTCATCTCTTTCTACACCACTACCGACTCTGAAGGTGAAGTCGTTACCACTTCTACCACCTACCCAGTCACCTCATCAGGTGTTCCAGCTCCAGTCACTACTGTTGTATCCTCTGGTAGCCACACCGAAACCGATGTCATCTCTTTCTACACCACTACCGACTCTGAAGGTGAAGTCGTTACCACTTCTACCACCTACCCAGTCACCTCTTCTGGTGTTCCAGCTCCAGTCACTACTGTTGTATCCTCTGGTAGCCACACCGAAACCGACGTCATCTCTTTCTACACCACTACCGACTCTGAAGGTGAAGTCGTTACCACTTCTACCACCTACCCAGTCACCTCATCAGGTGTTCCAGCTCCAGTCACTACTGTTGTATCCTCTGGTAGCCACACCGAAACTGATGTCATCTCTTTCTACACCACTACCGACTCTGAAGGTGAAGTCGTTACCACTTCTACCACCTACCCAGTCACCTCATCAGGTGTTCCAGCTCCAGTCACTACTGTTGTATCCTCTGGTAGCCACACCGAAACCGATGTCATCTCTTTCTACACCACTACCGACTCTGAAGGTGAAGTCGTTACCACTTCTACCACCTACCCAGTCACCTCATCAGGTGTTCCAGCTCCAGTCACTACTGTTGTATCCTCTGGTAGCTACACCGAAACCGACGTCATCTCTTTCTACACCACTACCGACTCTGAAGGTGAAGTCGTTACCACTTCTACCACCTACCCAGTCACCTCATCAGGTGTTCCAGCTCCAGTCACTACTGTTGTATCCTCTGGTAGCCACACCGAAACCGACGTCATCTCTTTCTACACCACTACCGACTCTGAAGGTGAAGTCGTTACCACTTCTACCACCTACCCAGTCACCTCTTCTGGTGTTCCAGCTCCAGTCACTACTGTTGTATCCTCTGGTAGCCACACCGAAACCGATGTCATCTCTTTCTACACCACTACCGACTCTGAAGGTGAAGTCGTTACCACTTCTACCACCTACCCAGTCACCTCATCAGGTGTTCCAGCTCCAGTCACTACTGTTGTATCCTCTGGTAGCCACACCGAAACCGACGTCATCTCTTTCTACACCACTACCGACTCTGAAGGTGAAGTCGTTACCACTTCTACCACCTACCCAGTCACCTCTTCTGGTGTTCCAGCTCCAGTCACTACTGTTGTATCCTCTGGTAGCCACACCGAAACCGACGTCATCTCTTTCTACACCACTACCGACTCTGAAGGTGAAGTCGTTACCACTTCTACCACCTACCCAGTCACCTCATCAGGTGTTCCAGCTCCAGTCACTACTGTTGTATCCTCTGGTAGCCACACCGAAACCGATGTCATCTCTTTCTACACCACTACCGACTCTGAAGGTGAAGTCGTTACCACTTCTACCACCTACCCAGTCACCTCTTCTGGTGTTCCAGCTCCAGTCACTACTGTTGTATCCTCTGGTAGCCACACCGAAACCGATGTCATCTCTTTCTACACCACTACCGACTCTGAAGGTGAAGTCGTTACCACTTCTACCACCTACCCAGTCACCTCTTCTGGTGTTCCAGCTCCAGTCACTACTGTTGTATCCTCTGGTAGCCACACCGAAACCGATGTCATCTCTTTCTACACCACTACCGACTCTGAAGGTGAAGTCGTTACCACTTCTACCACCTACCCAGTCACCTCTTCTGGTGTTCCAGCTCCAGTCACTACTGTTGTATCCTCTGGTAGCCACACCGAAACCGATGTCATCTCTTTCTACACCACTACCGACTCTGAAGGTGAAGTCGTTACCACTTCTACCACCTACCCAGTCACCTCTTCTGGTGTTCCAGCTCCAGTCACTACTGTTGTATCCTCTGGTAGCCACACCGAAACCGACGTCATCTCTTTCTACACCACTACCGACTCTGAAGGTGAAGTCGTTACCACTTCTACCACCTACCCAGTCACTTCTTCTGGTGTTCCAGCTCCAGTCACTACTGTTGTATCCTCTGGTAGCCACACCGAAACCGATGTCATCTCTTACTACACCACTACCGACTCTGAAGGTGAATTAGTTACCACTTCTACCACCTACCCAGTCACTTCTTCTGGTGTTCCAGCTCCAGTCACCACCACTATCACTTCTGGCAGCCACACTGAAACCGATGTCATCTCTTACTACACCACTACCGACTCTGAAGGTGAATTAGTTACCACTTCTACCACCTACCCAGTCACTTCTTCTGGTGTTCCAGCTCCAGTCACCACCACTATCACTTCTGGCAGCCACACTGAAACCGATGTCATCTCTTACTACACCACTACCGACTCTGAAGGTGAATTAGTTACCACTTCTACCACCTACCCAGTCACTTCTTCTGGTGTTCCAGCTCCAGTCACCACCACTATCACTTCTGGCAGCCACACTGAAACCGATGTCATCTCTTACTACACCACTACCGACTCTGAAGGTGAATTAGTTACCACTTCTACCACCTACCCAGTCACTTCTTCTGGTGTTCCAGCTCCAGTCACCACCACTATCACTTCTGGCAGCCACACTGAAACCGATGTCATCTCTTACTACACCACTACCGACTCTGAAGGTGAATTAGTTACCACTTCTACCACCTACCCAGTCACTTCTTCTGGTGTTCCAGCTCCAGTCACCACCACTATCACTTCTGGCAGCCACACTGAAACCGATGTCATCTCTTACTACACCACTACCGACTCTGAAGGTGAATTAGTTACCACTTCTACCACCTACCCAGTCACTTCTTCTGGTGTTCCAGCTCCAGTCACCACCACTATCACTTCTGGTAGCCACACTGAAACCGATGTCATCTCTTACTACACCACTACCGACTCCGAAGGTGAATTAGTTACCACTTCTACCACCTACCCAGTCACTTCTTCTGGTGTTCCAGCTCCAGTCACCACCACTATCACTTCTGGTAGCCACACTGAAACCGATGTCATCTCTTACTACACCACTACCGACTCTGAAGGTGAATTAGTTACCACTTCTACCACCTACCCAGTCACTTCTTCTGGTGTTCCAGCTCCAGTCACCACCACTATCACTTCTGGCAGCCACACTGAAACCGATGTCATCTCTTACTACACCACTACCGACTCCGAAGGTGAATTAGTTACCACTTCTACCACCTACCCAGTCACTTCTTCTGGTGTTCCAGCTCCAGTCACCACCACTATCACTTCTGGCAGCCACACTGAAACCGATGTCATCTCTTACTACACCACTACCGACTCTGAAGGTGAATTAGTTACCACTTCTACCACCTACCCAGTCACTTCTTCTGGTGTTCCAGCTCCAGTCACCACCACTATCACTTCTGGCAGCCACACTGAAACCGATGTCATCTCTTACTACACCACTACCGACTCCGAAGGTGAATTAGTTACCACTTCTACCACCTACCCAGTCACTTCTTCTGGTGTTCCAGCTCCAGTCACCACCACTATCACTTCTGGTAGCCACACTGAAACCGATGTCATCTCTTACTACACCACTACCGACTCTGAAGGTGAATTAGTTACCACTTCTACCACCTACCCAGTCACTTCTTCTGGTGTTCCAGCTCCAGTCACCACCACTATCACTTCTGGCAGCCACACTGAAACCGATGTCATCTCTTACTACACCACTACCGACTCTGAAGGTGAATTAGTTACCACTTCTACCACCTACCCAGTCACTTCTTCTGGTGTTCCAGCTCCAGTCACCACCACTATCACTTCTGGCAGCCACACTGAAACCGATGTCATCTCTTACTACACCACTACCGACTCCGAAGGTGAATTAGTTACCACTTCTACCACCTACCCAGTCACTTCTTCTGGTGTTCCAGCTCCAGTCACCACCACTATCACTTCTGGCAGCCACACTGAAACCGATGTCATCTCTTACTACACCACTACCGACTCTGAAGGTGAATTAGTTACCACTTCTACCACCTACCCAGTCACTTCTTCTGGTGTTCCAGCTCCAGTCACCACCACTATCACTTCTGGCAGCCACACTGAAACCGATGTCATCTCTTACTACACCACTACCGACTCTGAAGGTGAATTAGTTACCACTTCTACCACCTACCCAGTCACTTCTTCTGGTGTTCCAGCTCCAGTCACCACCACTATCACTTCTGGCAGCCACACTGAAACCGATGTCATCTCTTACTACACCACTACCGACTCTGAAGGTGAATTAGTTACCACTTCTACCACCTACCCAGTCACTTCTTCTGGTGTTCCAGCTCCAGTCACCACCACTATCACTTCTGGCAGCCACACTGAAACCGATGTCATCTCTTACTACACCACTACCGACTCTGAAGGTGAATTAGTTACCACTTCTACCACCTACCCAGTCACTTCTTCTGGTGTTCCAGCTCCAGTCACCACCACTATCACTTCTGGCAGCCACACTGAAACCGATGTCATCTCTTACTACACCACTACCGACTCCGAAGGTGAATTAGTTACCACTTCTACCACCTACCCAGTCACTTCTTCTGGTGTTCCAGCTCCAGTCACCACCACTATCACTTCTGGCAGCCACACTGAAACCGATGTCATCTCTTACTACACCACTACCGACTCTGAAGGTGAATTAGTTACCACTTCTACCACCTACCCAGTCACTTCTTCTGGTGTTCCAGCTCCAGTCACCACCACTATCACTTCTGGCAGCCACACTGAAACCGATGTCATCTCTTACTACACCACTACCGACTCTGAAGGTGAATTAGTTACCACTTCTACCACCTACCCAGTCACTTCTTCTGGTGTTCCAGCTCCAGTCACCACCACTATCACTTCTGGTAGCCACACTGAAACCGATGTCATCTCTTACTACACCACTACCGACTCTGAAGGTGAATTAGTTACCACTTCTACCACCTACCCAGTCACTTCTTCTGGTGTTCCAGCTCCAGTCACCACCACTATCACTTCTGGCAGCCACACTGAAACCGATGTCATCTCTTACTACACCACTACCGACTCCGAAGGTGAATTAGTTACCACTTCTACCACCTACCCAGTCACTTCTTCTGGTGTTCCAGCTCCAGTCACCACCACTATCACTTCTGGCAGCCACACTGAAACCGATGTCATCTCTTACTACACCACTACCGACTCCGAAGGTGAATTAGTTACCACTTCTACCACCTACCCAGTCACTTCTTCTGGTGTTCCAGCTCCAGTCACCACCACTATCACTTCTGGCAGCCACACTGAAACCGATGTCATCTCTTACTACACCACTACCGACTCTGAAGGTGAATTAGTTACCACTTCTACCACCTACCCAGTCACTTCTTCTGGTGTTCCAGCTCCAGTCACCACCACTATTACTTCTGGCAGCCACACTGAAACCGATGTCATCTCTTACTACACCACTACCGACTCCGAAGGTGAATTAGTTACCACTTCTACCACCTACCCAGTCACTTCTTCTGGTGTTCCAGCTCCAGTCACCACCACTATCACTTCTGGCAGCCACACTGAAACCGATGTCATCTCTTACTACACCACTACCGACTCTGAAGGTGAATTAGTTACCACTTCTACCACCTACCCAGTCACTTCTTCTGGTGTTCCAGCTCCAGTCACCACCACTATCACTTCTGGCAGCCACACTGAAACCGATGTCATCTCTTACTACACCACTACCGACTCTGAAGGTGAATTAGTTACCACTTCTACCACCTACCCAGTCACTTCTTCTGGTGTTCCAGCTCCAGTCACCACCACTATCACTTCTGGCAGCCACACTGAAACCGATGTCATCTCTTACTACACCACTACCGACTCTGAAGGTGAATTAGTTACCACTTCTACCACCTACCCAGTCACTTCTTCTGGTGTTCCAGCTCCAGTCACCACCACTATTACTTCTGGCAGCCACACTGAAACCGATGTCATCTCTTACTACACCACTACCGACTCTGAAGGTGAATTAGTTACCACTTCTACCACCTACCCAGTCACTTCTTCTGGTGTTCCAGCTCCAGTCACCACCACTATCACTTCTGGCAGCCACACTGAAACCGATGTCATCTCTTACTACACCACTACCGACTCTGAAGGTGAATTAGTTACCACTTCTACCACCTACCCAGTCACTTCTTCTGGTGTTCCAGCTCCAGTCACCACCACTATCACTTCTGGCAGCCACACTGAAACCGATGTCATCTCTTACTACACCACTACCGACTCTGAAGGTGAATTAGTTACCACTTCTACCACCTACCCAGTCACTTCTTCTGGTGTTCCAGCTCCAGTCACCACCACTATCACTTCTGGTAGCCACACTGAAACCGATGTCATCTCTTACTACACCACTACCGACTCCGAAGGTGAATTAGTTACCACTTCTACCACCTACCCAGTCACTTCTTCTGGTGTTCCAGCTCCAGTCACCACCACTATCACTTCTGGTAGCCACACTGAAACCGATGTCATCTCTTACTACACCACTACCGACTCTGAAGGTGAATTAGTTACCACTTCTACCACCTACCCAGTCACTTCTTCTGGTGTTCCAGCTCCAGTCACCACCACTATCACTTCTGGCAGCCACACTGAAACCGATGTCATCTCTTACTACACCACTACCGACTCCGAAGGTGAATTAGTTACCACTTCTACCACCTACCCAGTCACTTCTTCTGGTGTTCCAGCTCCAGTCACCACCACTATCACTTCTGGCAGCCACACTGAAACCGATGTCATCTCTTACTACACCACTACCGACTCTGAAGGTGAATTAGTTACCACTTCTACCACCTACCCAGTCACTTCTTCTGGTGTTCCAGCTCCAGTCACCACCACTATCACTTCTGGTAGCCACACTGAAACCGATGTCATCTCTTACTACACCACTACCGACTCCGAAGGTGAATTAGTTACCACTTCTACCACCTACCCAGTCACTTCTTCTGGTGTTCCAGCTCCAGTCACCACCACTATCACTTCTGGCAGCCACACTGAAACCGATGTCATCTCTTACTACACCACTACCGACTCTGAAGGTGAATTAGTTACCACTTCTACCACCTACCCAGTCACTTCTTCTGGTGTTCCAGCTCCAGTCACCACCACTATCACTTCTGGCAGCCACACTGAAACCGATGTCATCTCTTACTACACCACTACCGACTCTGAAGGTGAATTAGTTACCACTTCTACCACCTACCCAGTCACTTCTTCTGGTGTTCCAGCTCCAGTCACCACCACTATCACTTCTGGTAGCCACACTGAAACCGATGTCATCTCTTACTACACCACTACCGACTCTGAAGGTGAATTAGTTACCACTTCTACCACCTACCCAGTCACTTCTTCTGGTGTTCCAGCTCCAGTCACCACCACTATCACTTCTGGTAGCCACACTGAAACCGATGTCATCTCTTACTACACCACTACCGACTCTGAAGGTGAATTAGTTACCACTTCTACCACCTACCCAGTCACTTCTTCTGGTGTTCCAGCTCCAGTCACCACCACTATCACTTCTGGCAGCCACACTGAAACCGATGTCATCTCTTACTACACCACTACCGACTCTGAAGGTGAATTAGTTACCACTTCTACCACCTACCCAGTCACTTCTTCTGGTGTTCCAGCTCCAGTCACCACCACTATCACTTCTGGCAGCCACACTGAAACCGATGTCATCTCTTACTACACCACTACCGACTCCGAAGGTGAATTAGTTACCACTTCTACCACCTACCCAGTCACTTCTTCTGGTGTTCCAGCTCCAGTCACCACCACTATCACTTCTGGTAGCCACACTGAAACCGATGTCATCTCTTACTACACCACTACCGACTCTGAAGGTGAATTAGTTACTACTTCTACCACCTACCCAGTCACTTCTTCTGGTGTTCCAGCTCCAGTCACCACCACTATCACTTCTGGTAGCCACACTGAAACCGATGTCATCTCTTACTACACCACTACCGACTCTGAAGGTGAATTAGTTACCACTTCTACCACCTACCCAGTCACTTCTTCTGGTGTTCCAGCTCCAGTCACCACCACTATCACTTCTGGCAGCCACACTGAAACCGATGTCATCTCTTACTACACCACTACCGACTCTGAAGGTGAATTAGTTACCACTTCTACCACCTACCCAGTCACTTCTTCTGGTGTTCCAGCTCCAGTCACCACCACTATTACTTCTGGCAGCCACACTGAAACCGATGTCATCTCTTACTACACCACTACCGACTCTGAAGGTGAATTAGTTACCACTTCTACCACCTACCCAGTCACTTCTTCTGGTGTTCCAGCTCCAGTCACCACCACTATTACTTCTGGCAGCCACACTGAAACCGATGTCATCTCTTACTACACCACTACCGACTCCGAAGGTGAATTAGTTACCACTTCTACCACCTACCCAGTCACTTCTTCTGGTGTTCCAGCTCCAGTCACCACCACTATCACTTCTGGCAGCCACACTGAAACCGATGTCATCTCTTACTACACCACTACCGACTCCGAAGGTGAATTAGTTACCACTTCTACCACCTACCCAGTCACTTCTTCTGGTGTTCCAGCTCCAGTCACCACCACTATCACTTCTGGCAGCCACACTGAAACCGATGTCATCTCTTACTACACCACTACCGACTCCGAAGGTGAATTAGTTACCACTTCTACCACCTACCCAGTCACTTCTTCTGGTGTTCCAGCTCCAGTCACCACCACTATTACTTCTGGCAGCCACACTGAAACCGATGTCATCTCTTACTACACCACTACCGACTCTGAAGGTGAATTAGTTACCACTTCTACCACCTACCCAGTCACTTCTTCTGGTGTTCCAGCTCCAGTCACCACCACTATCACTTCTGGCAGCCACACTGAAACCGATGTCATCTCTTACTACACCACTACCGACTCTGAAGGTGAATTAGTTACCACTTCTACCACCTACCCAGTCACTTCTTCTGGTGTTCCAGCTCCAGTCACCACCACTATCACTTCTGGCAGCCACACTGAAACCGATGTCATCTCTTACTACACCACTACCGACTCTGAAGGTGAATTAGTTACCACTTCTACCACCTACCCAGTCACTTCTTCTGGTGTTCCAGCTCCAGTCACCACCACTATCACTTCTGGTAGCCACACTGAAACCGATGTCATCTCTTACTACACCACTACCGACTCTGAAGGTGAATTAGTTACCACTTCTACCACCTACCCAGTCACTTCTTCTGGTGTTCCAGCTCCAGTCACCACCACTATCACTTCTGGCAGCCACACTGAAACCGATGTCATCTCTTACTACACCACTACCGACTCTGAAGGTGAATTAGTTACCACTTCTACCACCTACCCAGTCACTTCTTCTGGTGTTCCAGCTCCAGTCACCACCACTATCACTTCTGGTAGCCACACTGAAACCGATGTCATCTCTTACTACACCACTACCGACTCCGAAGGTGAATTAGTTACCACTTCTACCACCTACCCAGTCACTTCTTCTGGTGTTCCAGCTCCAGTCACCACCACTATCACTTCTGGTAGCCACACTGAAACCGATGTCATCTCTTACTACACCACTACCGACTCTGAAGGTGAATTAGTTACCACTTCTACCACCTACCCAGTCACTTCTTCTGGTGTTCCAGCTCCAGTCACCACCACTATCACTTCTGGCAGCCACACTGAAACCGATGTCATCTCTTACTACACCACTACCGACCCTGAAGGTGAATTAGTTACCACTTCTACCACCTACCCAGTCACTTCTTCTGGTGTTCCAGCTCCAGTCACCACCACTATCACTTCTGGCAGCCACACTGAAACCGATGTCATCTCTTACTACACCACTACCGACTCTGAAGGTGAATTAGTTACCACTTCTACCACCTACCCAGTCACTTCTTCTGGTGTTCCAGCTCCAGTCACCACCATTATTACTTCTGGCAGCCACACTGAAACCGATGTCATCTCTTACTACACCACTACCGACTCCGAAGGTGATGTTATTGTTACTAGTAGTGATTTGTTTTCCAATATATTTTCAACAAGAGTTAGTGTCAGTTGTAGTGGTTTCTCTGTTTTCAGATCTATATTGTATTCTGTAAATGGAGATATACTTGTTAGTGTTAGAAACTCCGTTGATTCTTCTGTTACTTCGTCAATGCTTTCAGGTAGTGTTAGTGTTAGTGTTAGCGATAGTATTTCGTATTATACCACTACTGATACAAACGGTAGTATTATTACAATTACTACCACTGTTCCTTGCGAGACGTCCACTGACACCGTGAAACCAACTGAGATTACAAGTCAAGTTACAGTGACAGATTCTTTCGGTAGTATTATTACAATTACTACCACTGTTCCTTGCGAGACGTCCACTGACACCGTGAAACCAACTGAAAATACTACTCATGTCACTACCACCGATTCTGCTGGTCACACAACTGTCATAACTTCTGACATAGCACCAACTCCATCTACTTCTACTGACACTGTGAACCCAACTGAAAATACTACTCATGTCACTACCACCGATTCTGCTGGTCACACAACTGTCATAACTTCTGACATAGCACCAACTCCATCTACTTCCATCAATGTAACTAAATCGACTGACGCCGCTTCTAACACCATTATCCCAACCGGTTCTGATGAAAAATCATCTTCTACATTGTCTGCAAGTGTAACTTCCAATGGGGTTAACACTTCTACGTTATCTTTGTCAAATAGTTCCAAGTCAGCAGAATCGACCGACTTGAGCAATTCAGAAAATGAGAGCCTGACAAGCACATCTTACGTTCCATCAGCTACAGTTGGAATTTCTTCATCTTTCGAAGGCGCAGGTATATCTAATAAGATGAGCAATACGTTGGGTAGTTTCATTGGTATGTTTATTTTAGCAATATTAGTTTAAGATTTCACGATTTCTTAAAAATTTGCAAATTTTTGTTCGTTAGATTATCATATAATCGAGAGACATATAATATAACAGTTTGATTTTATTTGTATATATTAATTTTACTAGAACTTCTGTATTTGAGTGTTTATATACTAATGTTTTACTTTTTTTACTGTCATTATGGTTAAGAATCTTGCATAGTAATAATACTAAGGCATATATATTACCTTAGTACTTGATTGAATCATACTGCAAACAAGAGAATGACTAGTTTCTGTTTAGGCAAAAACTTTTGATAAGATATTTATACTAAATATATATTGTTGTTATTAATTTATATACTGGAGTTTTGAGAGGCATTTGCATTTGGAACAAAGTCTATATTAATCATGATATTCCTCTAAGAATTCGCGAGCGATTCATAATAAAGTTGGCTAGTATATACAAAGTTAGACAAGAAAAATATCAGATTATGTAGTTGTTTAATTAAGATATATGGAAGATAATTCAGTTGCTTACCCAAAAAAAAATTGAGTCTTTAGATAATATACGCCAGATAACATTTGATTTTGTAAATATGGAAATAAATGTCTTTATATCAATTTTATGTGTAAAGAAAAATGTTTGGGACCAAAAATCAAATTTTGATCATCAGGGCATTATACTGTGCCTAAAATGTATCGCTAAAGAGATTAAAAATTTCATACCCAACTGTTTTATAAAGGAAACCTACAATCTAAGGAGGGCATGGTTCCTTACTAGCTATCTGAACACCAAGAAGAGTGGCCATTACAAGTGCCACTTTGTAACATTCAATCTGCTAGTACATTCACATATAGGTAGGAGTATATCTAAGAATTCAGGCTCGTAGCCGACAATATCATAAGGTTTAAAATTGTCACACTATTATTTGCGATTTTTATTGACTATTATGAGCTTCAAACATTAATTATTAGTTAATGGTAAAGATCCCCAATGTAGTTCTTAAAGTTTTGGTATATTTGTTTGCCAAAATGGCACGACAATTAGTAAATATTACGGGGTATATAAAATGGGAAAATTAGGAAATTTTAAGAAAGTAATATATAGTCGCTAACTAGGTATTTAAAGAAGTTTTAAGTAAGTACAAATACAATTATAGAAAAACATATTTGTGATTTGATCAAGTTATTATTATCGATTGCTTTAGAATAGACTTCTAGTTAATCGCCTATTACTTCGATTTAAATATAAGGAATGAAGAGATTTACCTGAGGTGATTCACATTAGAACACAATCAATTATACACTACTAATAATGATTTCCACTACTGAATAATTCCTTCCGTTTGAAATTTAATTAATTTATTTAACTTGGCGTATGCGTATATTATTAATACCACTTACTATAAATCAAAGCTTTCAATCCTTAAAATAACCACAACATAGGTCGATGTAGAGCTCTCTTCTCATGGTACCTTGTCTGGAGAACATTTCTTATAGCCAACTAAGATACATTTTTCAAGTAGTTGAATATTAAGAATATGTTGTCACTAGCCTAACAAAATCACATAAGGGTAAATCATATAATTAACTTAATGGAACTGCGTCATTATGAGATATGATGGATATTCCAACAATTATATGAAGTCTTTGAGGTATTTTATTTATAGTAACTAATATTTAAGTAAGAAGTTATTATATCAATAGTATAGAAAACTTATTAATTATTATCGTAGGCCGAAGTTATTTGATAATCATTTAGCACCATATGGGTGTATTCAGTGTTTAAGATGTGATGAACTATAGGCGGTATTAATTTTGGAAAAGGTTGCCAATTAATAATAGTATAAATTCCAACTTTTGATATTACCTTTTGATAGTTATAAATAAGAGGGCTGGGAATTAATCATTAATATTAAAAATTAAATAAAAAAGTTTGGGAATAGCTGAAATATAAATGGGAGCCCCACTTATATAATTATTATCCGGGTTTCGTTATTTGTAGAAGATATAATATAATATATAATACCGGCCTCTCAAAACTCCAGTATATAAATTAATAATAACAATATATATTTAGTATAAATATCTTATCAAAAGTTTTTGCCTAAACAGAAACTAGTCATTCTCTTGTTTGCAGTATGATTCAATCAAGTACTAAGGTAATATATATGCCTTAGTATTATTACTATGCAAGATTCTTAACCATAATGACAGTAAAAAAAGTAAAACATTAGTATATAAACACTCAAATACAGAAGTTCTAGTAAAATTAATATATACAAATAAAATCAAACTGTTATATTATATGTCTCTCGATTATATGATAATCTAACGAACAAAAATTTGCAAATTTTTAAGAAATCGTGAAATCTTAAACTAATATTGCTAAAATAAACATACCAATGAAACTACCCAACGTATTGCTCATCTTATTAGATATACCTGCGCCTTCGAAAGATGAAGAAATTCCAACTGTAGCTGATGGAACGTAAGATGTGCTTGTCAGGCTCTCATTTTCTGAATTGCTCAAGTCGGTCGATTCTGCTGACTTGGAACTATTTGACAAAGATAACGTAGAAGTGTTAACCCCATTGGAAGTTACACTTGCAGACAATGTAGAAGATGATTTTTCATCAGAACCGGTTGGGATAATGGTGTTAGAAGCGGCGTCAGTCGATTTAGTTACATTGATGGAAGTAGATGGAGTTGGTGCTATGTCAGAAGTTATGACAGTTGTGTGACCAGCAGAATCGGTGGTAGTGACATGAGTAGTATTTTCAGTTGGGTTCACAGTGTCAGTAGAAGTAGATGGAGTTGGTGCTATGTCAGAAGTTATGACAGTTGTGTGACCAGCAGAATCGGTGGTAGTGACATGAGTAGTATTTTCAGTTGGTTTCACGGTGTCAGTGGACGTCTCGCAAGGAACAGTGGTAGTAATTGTAATAATACTACCGAAAGAATCTGTCACTGTAACTTGACTTGTAATCTCAGTTATCTCAGCTGTATTTGATGATTTAATTTGAGATGTATATAATGAAGTGGATATTGTAGAATGATCTTCGTTACTACTAGAAGGAGACCAATTGGAACTCTCAACGATATTAGTGAATGTGAAGTAGTTTGAAGTAGATTTTGATACCAAGGAAGTTCTTGTTGATTCAGATGCATCAGCATTCAAAGAAAACATTTTAGAATCAATAGACGTATATGGTGAACAACTTGAGGCAGTAACAACTACTGAATTGGAAGTTAACACGTGTGAACTAACTGAATTGGAAGTTAACTCTTGTGAACTAACTGGATTTGAAGTTAAATGGTATGAACTAAACGAATCACTTGACAACAGGGTACCTTGAGAAGAAACAGATGAATTGTGGTATACGAATGATGATGAAATACTAATGGAACTGAAACTACCACGCGTTGACTCTGCCTCACTTACGAAATACTCACTACTTGAAGATACGAAACTACCAGCAGAAACGCTTACACTAGAAGAACTAAAAGAATTCAATGGTAATACACTTGAAACAATTGACCTACTAGTCAAAACCTCATCTGATGTATAAGAAACTGGGTAGGTAGTGGTACCGGTGGTAACATTACCTTCAGAGTCGGTGGAAGTGTAAGTAGAAGTAGTCAATTCTTCTTCAGTGGTGTGGGAGACTGGGTAGGTAGTGGTACCGGTGGTAACATTACCTTCAGAGTCGGTGGAAGTGTAAGTAGAAGTAGTCAATTCTTCTTCAGTGGTGTGGGAGACTGGGTAGGTAGTGGTACCGGTGGTAACATTACCTTCAGAGTCGGTGGAAGTGTAAGTAGAAGTAGTCAATTCTTCTTCAGTGGTGTGGGAGACTGGGTAGGTAGTGGTACCGGTGGTAACATTACCTTCAGAGTCGGTGGAAGTGTAAGTAGAAGTAGTCAATTCTTCTTCACTGGTGTGGGAGACTGGGTAGGTAGTGGTACCGGTGGTAACATTACCTTCAGAGTCGGTGGAAGTGTAAGTAGAAGTAGTCAATTCTTCTTCACTGGTGTGGGAGACTGGGTAGGTAGTGGTACCGGTGGTAACATTACCTTCAGAGTCGGTGGAAGTGTAAGTAGAAGTAGTCAATTCTTCTTCACTGGTGTGGGAGACTGGGTAGGTAGTGGTACCGGTGGTAACATTACCTTCAGAGTCGGTGGAAGTGTAAGTAGAAGTAGTCAATTCTTCTTCACTGGTGTGGGAGACTGGGTAGGTAGTGGTACCGGTTGTAACATTACCTTCAGAGTCGGTGGAAGTGTAAGTAGAAGTAGTCAATTCTTCTTCAGTGGTGTGGGAGACTGGGTAGGTAGTGGTACCGGTGGTAACATTACCTTCAGAGTCGGTGGAAGTGTAAGTAGAAGTAGTCAATTCTTCTTCAGTGGTGTGGGAGACTGGGTAGGTGGTAGTACCGGTGGTAACATTACCTTCAGAGTCGGTGGAAGTGTAAGTAGAAGTAGTCAATTCTTCTTCAGTGGTGTGGGAGACTGGGTAGGTAGTGGTACCGGTGGTAACATTACCTTCAGAGTCGGTGGAAGTGTAAGTAGAAGTAGTCAATTCTTCTTCACTGGTGTGGGAGACTGGGTAGGTAGTGGTACCGGGTTGTAACATTACCTTCAGAGTCGGTGGAAGTGTAAGTAGAAGTAGTCAATTCTTTCTTCATTGGTGTGAGAGACTGGGTAGGTAGTGGTACCGGTGGTAACATTTCCTTCAGAGTCGGTGGAAGTGTAAGTAGAAGTAGTCAATTCTTCTTCACTGGTGTGAGAGTCTGGGTAGGTAGTGGTACCAGTGGTAACATTACCTTCAGAGTCGGTGGAAGTGTAAGTAGAAGTAGTCAATTCTTCTTCACTGGTGTGAGAGACTGGGTAGGTAGTGGTACCAGTGGTAACATTACCTTCAGAGTCGGTGGAAGTGTAAGTAGAAGTAGTCAATTCTTCTTCAGAAGTGTGAGAGACTGGGTAGGTAGTGGTACCGGTGGTAACATTACCTTCAGAGTCGGTGGAAGTGTAAGTAGAAGTGGTGACTTCTTCTTCACTGGTGTGAGAGACTGGGTAGGTAGTGGTACCGGTGGTAACATTACCTTCAGAGTCGGTGGAAGTGTAAGTAGAAGTGGTGACTTCTTCTTCACTGGTGTGAGAGACTGGGTAGGTAGTGGTACCGGTGGTAACATTACCTTCAGAGTCGGTGGAAGTGTAAGTAGAAGTGGTGACTTCTTCTTCACTGGTGTGAGAAACTGGGTAGGTAGTGGTACCGGTGGTAACATTACCTTCAGAGTCGGTGGAAGTGTAAGTAGAAGTGGTGACTTCTTCTTCACTGGTGTGAGAGACTGGGTAGGTAGTGGTACCGGTGGTAACATTACCTTCAGAGTCGGTGGAAGTGTAAGTAGAAGTAGTCACTTCTTCTTCACTGGTGTGAGAGACTGGGTAGGTAGTGGTACCAGTGGTAACATTACCTTCAGAGTCAGTGGAAGTGTAAGTAGAAGTAGTCAATTCTTCTTCACTGGTGTGAGAGACTGGGTAGGTAGTGGTACCGGTGGTAACATTACCTTCAGAGTCAGTGGAAGTGTAAGTAGAAGTAGTCAATTCTTCTTCACTGGTGTGAGAGACTGGGTAGGTAGTGGTACCGGTGGTAACATTACCTTCAGAGTCGGTGGAAGTGTAAGTAGAAGTGGTGACTTCTTCTTCACTGGTGTGAGAGACTGGGTAGGTAGTGGTACCGGTTGTAACATTACCTTCAGAGTCGGTGGAAGTGTAAGTAGAAGTGGTGACTTCTTCTTCAGAAGTGTGAGAGACTGGGTAGGTAGTGGTACCAGTGGTAACATTACCTTCAGAGTCGGTGGAAGTGTAAGTAGAAGTGGTGACTTCTTCTTCACTGGTGTGAGAGACTGGGTAGGTAGTGGTACCGGTGGTAACATTACCTTCAGAGTCAGTGGAAGTGTAAGTAGAAGTAGTCAATTCTTCTTCACTGGTGTGAGAGACTGGGTAGGTAGTGGTACCGGTGGTAACATTACCTTCAGAGTCGGTGGAAGTGTAAGTAGAAGTGGTGACTTCTTCTTCACTGGTGTGAGAGACTGGGTAGGTAGTGGTACCGGTGGTAACATTGCCTTCAGAGTCGGTAGAAGTGTAAGTAGAAGTAGTCACTTCTTCTTCACTGGTGTGAGAGACTGGGTAGGTAGTGGTACCGGTGGTAACATTACCTTCAGAGTCGGTGGAAGTGTAAGTAGAAGTAGTCAATTCTTCTTCACTGGTGTGAGAGACTGGGTAGGTAGTGGTACCGGTGGTAACATTACCTTCAGAGTCAGTGGAAGTGTAAGTAGAAGTAGTCAATTCTTCTTCACTGGTGTGAGAGACTGGGTAGGTAGTGGTACCGGTGGTAACATTACCTTCAGAGTCGGTGGAAGTGTAAGTAGAAGTAGTCAATTCTTCTTCACTGGTGTGAGAGACTGGGTAGGTAGTGGTACCGGTGGTAACATTACCTTCAGAGTCGGTGGAAGTGTAAGTAGAAGTGGTCAATTCTTCTTCAGTGGTGTGGGAGACTGGGTAGGTAGTGGTACCGGTGGTAACATTACCTTCAGAGTCGGTGGAAGTGTAAGTAGAAGTAGTCAATTCTTCTTCACTGGTGTGGGAGACTGGGTAGGTAGTGGTACCGGTGGTAACATTACCTTCAGAGTCGGTGGAAGTGTAAGTAGAAGTAGTCAATTCTTCTTCACTGGTGTGGGAGACTGGGTAGGTAGTGGTACCGGTGGTAACATTACCTTCAGAGTCGGTGGAAGTGTAAGTAGAAGTAGTCAATTCTTCTTCAGTGGTGTGGGAGACTGGGTAGGTAGTGGTACCGGTGGTAACATTACCTTCAGAGTCGGTGGAAGTGTAAGTAGAAGTAGTCAATTCTTCTTCAGTGGTGTGGGAGACTGGGTAGGTAGTGGTACCGGTGGTAACATTACCTTCAGAGTCGGTGGAAGTGTAAGTAGAAGTAGTCAATTCTTCTTCACTGGTGTGGGAGACTGGGTAGGTAGTGGTACCGGTGGTAACATTACCTTCAGAGTCGGTGGAAGTGTAAGTAGAAGTAGTCAATTCTTCTTCAGTGGTGTGGGAGACTGGGTAGGTAGTGGTACCGGTGGTAACATTACCTTCAGAGTCGGTGGAAGTGTAAGTAGAAGTAGTCAATTCTTCTTCAGTGGTGTGGGAGACTGGGTAGGTAGTGGTACCGGTGGTAACATTACCTTCAGAGTCGGTGGAAGTGTAAGTAGAAGTAGTCAATTCTTCTTCAGTGGTGTGGGAGACTGGGTAGGTAGTGGTACCGGTGGTAACATTACCTTCAGAGTCGGTGGAAGTGTAAGTAGAAGTAGTCAATTCTTCTTCAGTGGTGTGGGAGACTGGGTAGGTAGTGGTACCGGTGGTAACATTACCTTCAGAGTCGGTGGAAGTGTAAGTAGAAGTAGTCAATTCTTCTTCAGTGGTGTGGGAGACTGGGTAGGTAGTGGTACCGGTGGTAACATTACCTTCAGAGTCGGTGGAAGTGTAAGTAGAAGTAGTCAATTCTTCTTCAGTGGTGTGGGAGACTGGGTAGGTGGTGGTACCGGTGGTAACATTACCTTCAGAGTCGGTGGAAGTGTAAGTAGAAGTAGTCAATTCTTCTTCACTGGTGTGGGAGACTGGGTAGGTGGTGGTACCGGTGGTAACATTACCTTCAGAGTCGGTGGAAGTGTAAGTAGAAGTGGTTACTTCTTCTTCAGAAGTGTGAGAGACTGGGTAGGTAGTAGTACCGGTGGTAACATTACCTTCAGAGTCGGTGGAAGTGTAAGTAGAAGTAGTCAATTCTTCTTCAGAAGTGTGAGAGACTGGGTAGGTAGTAGTACCGGTGGTAACATTACCTTCAGAGTCGGTGGAAGTGTAGGTAGAAGTGGTGACTTCTTCTTCACTGGTGTGAGAGACTGGGTAGGTGGTGGTACCGGTGGTAACATTACCTTCAGAGTCAGTGGAAGTGTAAGTAGAAGTAGTCAATTCTTCTTCAGAAGTGTGAGAGACTGGGTAGGTAGTGGTACCGGTGGTAACATTACCTTCAGAGTCGGTGGAAGTGTAAGTAGAAGTGGTGACTTCTTCTTCACTGGTGTGAGAGACTGGGTAGGTGGTGGTACCGGTGGTAACATTACCTTCAGAGTCGGTGGAAGTGTAAGTAGAAGTGGTGATTTCTTCTTCACTGGTGTGAGAGACTGGGTAGGTGGTGGTACCGGTGGTAACATTACCTTCAGAGTCGGTGGAAGTGTAAGTAGAAGTGGTGACTTCTTCTTCACTGGTGTGAGAGACTGGGTAGGTGGTGGTACCGGTGGTAACATTACCTTCAGAGTCGGTGGAAGTGTAGGTAGAAGTGGTGACTTCTTCTTCAGAAGTGTGAGAGACTGGGTAGGTGGTGGTACCGGTGGTAACATTACCTTCAGAGTCGGTGGAAGTGTAGGTAGAAGTGGTGACTTCTTCTTCAGAAGTGTGAGAGACTGGGTAGGTGGTGGTACCGGTGGTAACATTACCTTCAGAGTCGGTGGAAGTGTAAGTAGAAGTGGTGACTTCTTCTTCACTGGTGTGAGAGACTGGGTAGGTGGTGGTACCGGTGGTAACATTACCTTCAGAGTCGGTGGAAGTGTAAGTAGAAGTGGTGACTTCTTCTTCAGAAGTGTGAGAGACTGGGTAGGTGGTGGTACCGGTGGTAACATTACCTTCAGAGTCGGTGGAAGTGTAGGTAGAAGTGGTGACTTCTTCTTCACTGGTGTGGGAGACTGGGTAGGTGGTGGTACCGGTGGTTACATTACCTTCAGAGTCGGTGGAAGTGTAAGTAGAAGTGGTGACTTCTTCTTCAGAAGTGTGAGAGACTGGGTAGGTGGTGGTACCGGTGGTAACATTACCTTCAGAGTCGGTGGAAGTGTAAGTAGAAGTGGTGACTTCTTCTTCACTGGTGTGCGAGACTGGGTAGGTGGTGGTACCGGTGGTAACATTACCTTCAGAGTCGGTGGAAGTGTAAATAGAAGTGGTGACTTCTTCTTCAGAAGTGTGAGAGACTGGGTAGGTGGTGGTACCGGTGGTAACATTACCTTCAGAATCCGTGGAAGTGTAAGTAGAAGTGGTGACTTCTTCTTCACTGGTGTGGGAGACTGGGTAGGTGGTGGTACCGATGGTAACATTACCTTCAGAGTCGGTGGAAGTGTAAGTAGAAGTGGTGACTTCTTCTTCACTGGTGTGAGAAACTGGGTAGGTGGTGGTACCGGTGGTAACATTACCTTCAGAGTCGGTGGAAGTGTAAGTAGAAGTGGTGACTTCTTCTTCAGAAGTGTGAGAGACTGGGTAGGTGGTGGTACCGGTGGTAACATTACCTTCAGAGTCGGTGGAAGTGTAGGTAGAAGTGGTGACTTCTTCTTCACTGGTGTCGGAGACTGGGTAGGTGGTGGTACCGGTGGTAACATTACCTTCAGAGTCGGTGGAAGTGTAAGTAGCAGTAGTCAATTCCTCTTCATCTGAAGTGTGCTCAACTGGGTAAGTAGTAACACCAGTGGTGACATTACCTTCAGAGTCGGTGGAAGTGTAAGTAGCAGTAGTCAATTCCTCTTCATCGGAAGTGTGCTCAACTGGGTAAGTAGTAACACCAGTGGTGACATTACCTTCAGAGTCGGTGGAAGTGTAAGTAGCAGTAGTCAATTCCTCTCCATCGGAAATGTTATGAACTGGGTAAGTAGTAACACCAGTGGTGACATTACCTTCAGAGTCGGTGGAAGTGTAAGTAGCAGTAGTCAATTCCTCTTCATCGGAAGTGTGCTCAACTGGGTAAGTAGTAACACCAGTGGTGACATTACCTTCAGAGTCGGTGGAAGTGTAAGTAGCAGTAGTTAGTTCCTCTTCATCGGAAGTGTGCTGAACTGGGTAAGTAGTAACACCAGTGGTGACATTACCTTCAGAGTCGGTGGAAGTGTAAGTTGCAGTAGTCAATTCCTCTTCATCAGAAGCGTTATGAACTGGGTAAGTAGTAACACCAGTGGTGACATTACCTTCAGAGTCGGTGGAAGTGTAAGTAGCAGTAGTCAATTCCTCTTCATCGGAAGTGTTATGAACTGGGTAAGTAGTAACACCAGTGGTGACATTACCTTCAGAGTCGGTGGAAGTGTAAGTTGCAGTAGTTAGTTCCTCTTCATCGGAAGTGTGCTCAACTGGGTAAGTAGTAACACCAGTGGTGACATTACCTTCAGAGTCGGTGGAAGTGTAAGTAGCAGTAGTCAATTCCTCTTCATCTGAAGTGTGCTCAACTGGGTAAGTAGTAACACCAGTGGTGACATTACCTTCAGAGTCGGTGGAAGTGTAAGTAGCAGTAGTCAATTCCTCTTCATCGGAAGTGTGCTCAACTGGGTAAGTAGTAACACCAGTGGTGACATTACCTTCAGAGTCGGTGGAAGTGTAAGTAGCAGTAGTTAATTCCTCTTCATCAGAAGTGTGCTGAACTGGGTAAGTAGTAACACCAGTGGTGACATTACCTTCAGAGTCGGTGGAAGTGTAAGTAGCAGTAGTTAGTTCCTCTTCATCGGAAGTGTGCTCAACTGGGTAAGTAGTAACACCAGTGGTGACATTACCTTCAGAGTCGGTGGAAGTGTAAGTAGCAGTAGTTAGTTCCTCTTCATCTGAAGTGTGCTCAACTGGGTAAGTAGTAACACCAGTGGTGACATTACCTTCAGAGTCGGTGGAAGTGTAAGTAGCAGTAGTCAATTCCTCTTCATCGGAAGTGTGCTCAACTGGGTAAGTAGTAACACCAGTGGTGACATTACCTTCAGAGTCGGTGGAAGTGTAAGTAGCAGTAGTTAGTTCCTCTTCATCTGAAGTGTGCTCAACTGGGTAAGTAGTAACACCAGTGGTGACATTACCTTCAGAGTCGGTGGAAGTGTAAGTAGCAGTAGTTAGTTCCTCTTCATCGGAAGTGTGCTCAACTGGGTAAGTAGTAACACCAGTGGTGACATTACCTTCAGAGTCGGTGGAAGTGTAAGTAGCAGTAGTTAGTTCCTCTTCATCTGAAGTGTGCTCAACTGGGTAAGTAGTAACACCAGTGGTGACATTACCTTCAGAGTCGGTGGAAGTGTAAGTAGCAGTAGTCAATTCCTCTTCATCGGAAGTGTTATGAACTGGGTAAGTAGTAACACCAGTGGTGACATTACCTTCAGAGTCGGTGGAAGTGTAAGTAGCAGTAGTCAATTCCTCTTCATCGGAAGTGTGCTGAACTGGGTAAGTAGTAACACCAGTGGTGACATTACCTTCAGAGTCGGTGGAAGTGTAAGTAGCAGTAGTTAGTTCCTCTTCATCTGAAGTGTGCTCAACTGGGTAAGTAGTAACACCAGTGGTGACATTACCTTCAGAGTCGGTGGAAGTGTAAGTAGCAGTAGTTAGTTCCTCTTCATCGGAAGTGTGCTCAACTGGGTAAGTAGTAACACCAGTGGTGACATTACCTTCAGAGTCGGTGGAAGTGTAAGTAGCAGTAGTCAATTCCTCTTCATCGGAAGTGTTATGAACTGGGTAAGTAGTAACACCAGTGGTGACATTACCTTCAGAGTCGGTGGAAGTGTAAGTAGCAGTAGTCAATTCCTCTTCATCGGAAGCGTTATGAACTGGGTAAGTAGTAACACCAGTGGTGACATTACCTTCAGAGTCGGTGGAAGTGTAAGTAGCAGTAATCAATTCCTCTTCATCGGAAGTGTTATGAACTGGGTAAGTAGTAACACCAGTGGTGACATTACCTTCAGAGTCGGTGGAAGTGTAAGTTGCAGTAGTTAGTTCCTCTTCATCGGAAGTGTGCTCAACTGGGTAAGTAGA